TAAAACATGACTTGTATTAATAAGTTTATTTATTCTGATTAAACATTTTTTCTAGAATTGCAGATGAAATGTCAAGTTCAGAAACTCATGACACAACAGCAGATACAAGGAAAATGCTTGCTGTCAAGGTTGGTATCAACTCAGTCAATAATATTATGGGATATGTATGATGATGGCAATAAAGTGGTTGTGTTCACTGACAGATACCGTAGATTGTTCCCATCACAATAATTTCAGTGACCAGAGTTCAATCATCTGATATGTTGTAGTTTTTGATGTAAACTGTGATAGAATGTCACATGAAATAATCTTAAAGGACGCTGGTCGCTGTGCTACGCATGCACTAAATATGGGTCTCAGATGAACAAAGATGGTGACTTTGACTGTGCATAGACCAATGACTACAAACTGAGATGTTACAAAACTTTAACTAAGTAATGCCATTTTAATTTTTATTGGTAAGTGCATTTATTCTTTTACTGCATTCTATCATTCATTTCTAGGCATTCAACCACACAGCAGAGTATGATGGCGCTATTTCAAATTATTTTCGAAAGGAATACAGTCAGGGTGTGTCTCAGTTACCGCTACGATATGGAATGAATCCTCATCAAAAGCCAGCACAGTTATACACTACACTACCACAACTACCGGTCAAAGTCCTCAATGGTTCTCCTGGATTTATTAATCTGTGTGACGCTTTCAATTCATGGCAGTTAGTACGAGAGCTGAAGACTGCCCTGAACCTACCAGCTGCTGCATCTTTTAAACATGTCAGCCCAGCAGGTGAGTACTTAAATTGAAGACCGCCCTCAACCTACTGGTGCTGCATCATTCAGTGCCACATCATTGATATTGGATCACTTGGTGTCGCATCAACTGGTGTCTCATCAACTGGTGTCGCATCAACTTGGTGTCGCATCAACTGGTGTCGCATCACTTGGTATCGTGTCAACTGGTGTCGCATCAACTGGTGTCGCATCAACTGGTGTCGCATCAACTGGTGTCGCATCAACTGGTGTCGCATCAACTGGTGTCGCATCAACTGGTGTCGCATCAACTTGGTGTCGCATCAACTTGGTGTCGCATCACTTGGTATCGTGTCAACTGGTGTCGCGTCAACTGGTGGTCGCGTTAACTGGTGTCGCATCATATGGTGCTACATTGCATGGTGACTTATCACGTTTGCAGCATCACTTGGTGTCACATCATTCGATATTGAATCACTTGGTGTCGCATCACTTGGTGCCTCATGCAATAAAAGAATTAAAGCCATTGCTTCAATACTACATGATTGTAATTCATCATATCTTTGCTGCACTTTTGATAGGTGCTGCCGTGGGTGTTGATCTAAATGAAGACCAGGCCAAACTATGTATGGTAGATGACATGTTACCACAACTAACACCATTAGCTTCTGCATATGCTAGGGCTAGAGGTAAACATACAATTCTTTATTTATACTGACCATTACAACTCTACTGGTGATATCTGAAATCAGCTTGACAAAATCATGTGCATTTATGTGGAGATGGTTTAAGAAATAGTTCCACCACAGGTCAACTACAGAAATGAATTGTAGTTTTCTATGAATTGTGGCAGCTAGGAATCAACCTCCAATTTTAAAGGAACCAGCTGATGACGTTATAACTCAGAAATTATAGATACCCATTTATATTTATTTATTTTAAAAAAAATCTATTTTTAGGAGCTGATCGTATGTCATCATTTGGTGATTTTGTTGCATTGTCTGACCAATGTGATGTCCCTACTGCCAAGATTATATCCAGAGAGGTAAGGTGATTGGTTACTTAGATATGTATCGGGTGATATGATTGGTTACTCACCCATGTATCGGGCGAGATGATTGGTGTGTTCAAGGAGCAAGTCTGTCATTACATATTATGTGCACACAATATTGGCAATACTACTACGGTTTTATTATATTTGTATACAGGTATCTGATGGCGTCATTGCACCTGGATATGATGATGAAGCATTACAAATACTATCAAAGAAGAAAGGTGGTAACTATTGTGTACTCAAGGTAGGTTGGCTATAGCTATCCAGTGATACATACTTTAGGTAGTTGGCTATAGCTATCCAGTGATACATACTTTAGGTAGGTTGGCTATAGCTATCCAGTGATACATACTTTAGGTAGTTGGCTATAGCTATCCAGTGATACATACTTT